TAAATTTCAAATAATATTTTTTAATGTCATGAAATTACGGGATACCGGAATGGGAGTCCCTTTTTATCTCGTTTTCCCGGGATAAGGGGACCCCCCCCCCGGGAAATGAGAAGTCGGCGTGTTGGTCAAATGGACGGGATTCGATAAGCGGCTGCTATATTGGAGAAGGTGGACACTTGAATCGAAAAATAATTGTGGTTTATTGAAGAATATGACGTTTTCAAAAATCTTGATGCAACAGGTTTTTGTCTTTTTTTAAAAACTTTCAACATTTTGTGTGTGTTTTTTATGTCGTGTTCACAGGTTCCGTAGCAGGGGAGGCAATCTCATCTCGGACATTGTGTACTCCCTCCAAGAGGTACTTCAGATTCACCATATATTTATATCACATCAATATAATATGATTTATTTAAATAGAATCAGTGGCGTAGCTCGTACCAATAGAATGTGCCGCCCGGGCTGGGGGCCACCTTTTTTGCCACTCAGTTCCATTAAAAAAAAACCAAAAAAAAAAAAAAACAACTCTGAAGCTCATAAAAAATGCCACCACCCATATAGGGAAAAAGTGACAGCTGGGGCGCATCACCGCCCTAAACACCCTTTCCTACGCCACTGTACGTATTTGGAATTACGTAAATGCAAATTGAAAACAAAGATTACATTTTTTTTGTGTAGAACTTGTGGGTGAAAGCTTCGGCAAATAATTAGTTCTCTCTCTTTGACCGTGATAATTGTTAAACCTTATGGGTTGCACAGGTGCTGCCACAGAAGGTTGGAGAAGTACTGCAGTGAGACCATAGTTCAAACAGGTTGAAATTTAAAAGATATAGCGGGCCAGTGTTGACCCCCCAAAGAGGAGTTCCAGGCTGACAAAATAATTGAGTACACCCAATTGTCGGCTAAGATGATTTAAAAACAAGGGGAGAAAAGTATGAAAACTTGTAAATGTTATAGTTATTCTAGTTACTCCCCTTGTCAGACCAAAAAAAAAACCAAAAAAAAAAACCCCCCAAAAAAAACACCACATTTTAAAATCTGTGGTAACATTTCTATGAAACGTAGAGCACTACTACAGGGTCTGAATTCTTCCACAAGGAGTTAATCACATCAATCTTTCCCTCAAAAAGTTAAAAACAGATAGGGGAAAAAAAAAAGAGAAACGAAAAGAAACGAAACAAGAAAGATAAATAATGAAGACATTATTTGAAAAAACGTAATTTTGGTGAAGAAAAAAAAAATCCAACGTTTAGAAAATAAATTCCTCCGAATCAAAATGCTCGAGTTTAAGTCTGATTCAGAGGCTTTGATTTGTGGTAGATGGTACATCTAAGGACGGCCTATCAAAAGACATTACTTACTACTCGTTTACTGCACTGCCAAACTACACCAGAGTATATTATACTATTTTTCTAGAATCTAGAGTAAAATCAAATATAGTCGCTTTAAAAAAAAAAAAAAAGAAAAGGCGTTGAAACCTATTTTGTAAGCCTTTGTTGCGTTTTCCCAAACACACAGCTGTACGGCAAATACGACATCGTGGTCAACTGCACAGGCGTGAGAGCCAGAGAGGTGGTCAACGACCCAGGGCTGATGCAAGTCAAGGCTCACGCCCTGCAGGTTGGTTAACTTGTTAAAGTGGTCCGTCGCTGTGGGGGTCAGTTGTTGCTGCGGTAAGTTTGAGTGGTCAGTTTTTAAATGGCCGGTTCGTAGTGGCTTCACCAGAAGAGTGCGGGGAAAGGGAATGCAATTCTGGTAATGTTTCGTCGCTGCATCCACGTACTGGCATCTTTGCAACGGCTGGGGATATGATGTTGCTATTCTAACAGCTCCTATAGCTGATGTCAGGGCAGCCTTGAAGCCAATTGCATTGAGTATAGTGTAAACAACTTTGACCTCGCACCTTGGATTCTTAGTTTAAAAACTTATTGTAGCGTTCAGAAAGTCCCTTTTTTTGTGTGTTCGCTTTGTTTTGCGGCATGGTTGTTGTTGAATGGCCGACGAACCCGCCACGATTAACAGACACACACACACATTGTCGGATAACTCGTCGGAGGGCTACTCTGTTCGGAAAAAATAAGAACATGTTACACGTAAAATTTATGAGTCACATACAGGGGCGTTATTTCAGGTTGTTTCAGGGGGGTGGGGGTGGAAAAACCAAAACTTATTCGGCTTGTTAAGTTGTTTTTCTTTTATACTGGAGGCGCCACAGTGCATAGAAATTTACATAAAATCTGCAAATTAAGAGGTTTGGGGGGGGGGGGATTAAATGCTGCTGCCTCACCCAAATGACGTCCCTGGTCGTGGGTCACACTGTAAAGTTTAATTTGAATACAACCACCCTCAACCCCCTCCCTCACCCCAACCCCCTCTTATAGAAATAAGATAAAATAATAATAATAATAATAATAATAATAATAATAATAATAATAATAATAATACAATTTTAAAAAAGAAAAGAAGAGGCGTTGCCTGAAATATACATTAAAAAAAAATCAAGTTCAGGTAAATAGCTTTTAAAGACGATCCTAGCGTGCGTTCACATGAATCTTTCTAGAGGAGACGCCAACCCGCCAATTAAAACAATTTGGAAAAGTTACTTCAATAGAATCTGTTATTAATTGACGGTGTGGAAAGAGGAGGGGTGCTGGGGGTAGAGTGGGGAAGGGTGTGTAAGGGGGGAGGGTGTGAGTGGAGGATATTAGGGTGGGAAGAGGTGGGCATGGAGGGGGGAGATGGGGGTGGGGGAGGATGTAAGGATGGGGAGGGGGTGCCAATGGGGAGGTGAGGGGAATGGGGAGGATATAAGGGTGGGGGAGGTGGAGTTGATGGGAGTAGCGAGGATATAAGGGATGGGGAGAGGAGTCAACGGGGAGGAGATTGGAGCTGGGAGGGGATGGAAATTGGGAGGAGATGGAAGTTGGAAGGAGATGGGAGTTGGGAGGAGGTGGAAGTTAAGAGGATATAAGGGTGGGGTAGGGGGAGTTGATGAGAGTAGGGAGGATATAAGGGGTGGGGAGGGGTGCAATGGGGAGGAGATGGGAGTTGGGAGGCGATGGGAGTTGGGAGGAGATGGGAGTTGGGAGGGGTGTGAGTGGTGAGGTTATAAGAATGGACCAGGGTGCAAACGTAGAGGAGAAGGGAGTGGGAGAATAAAGGAGTGGGGAAAGGGAGGGGTTGAACGAAGGGAGATACATATACAAGAATCTGTAGACCTAAGATCAAAATAGCCACCCTTTCCGAGCCTTCCGCTCATTCCTCTTGGCAGCCATTAATCTCACTCTTCTTGGGGTCATAAACTGAGGGTCAGTAATTAATTATGAACAGTTTCATCACTTTGATACAAAGCAAAAATGGTAATTGATTCATTTTTATTCGTGCCACGCCCCCCAATTGCTTCCCTTGAACTTCTTTTGTGCTAGTTATATTGCCAATTAGGGATAACTCTGCACTCATTGATGACGACTCTCTTACGGTCGTAAAACGTCATTTTTAACCCCGTTGGCAGCAGGATAGCCAGTCTAGCGCCACCTACCGGCTTTTAATCTTGATACATCTGAGATGTGAACAGTTTCCGTTTTTTTTTCTCAAATTCGCTTTTAATTTTTTTTTTTTTTAATTGATCCAACTGCGAGACAAACTAAAATGATTCATTCCCGAATGATTAGCTTAAGGGATTATTTCCATATGGGTCAAAGTTCAGATTCAATTGCGTCATTGAACCTTGGCATGCGCTTCAAAACGCCACATCTGACCTTTGACCTGACTTTATGGTCAAGAATAATGACCTCGGGATATACATATTCATTAAATAACCCACTCACAACTTTCCACTTTCCACTTTTCATCTGTCAAGCTGTATCTTGGATGACATATGCCACTCTTCCACTTTTCATCTGTCAAGCTGTATCTAGGATGACATATGCCACTCTTCCACTTTTCATCTGTCAAGCTGTATCTAGGATGACATATGCCACTCTTCCACTTTTCATCTGTCAAGCTGTATCTAGGATGACATATGACAAAATTGCTTGGTCGGGACAAAAAAATAATAAAAAAATTAAAATAAAATTTGCGTTTTTTTTATTTTCACATTCAAGTAGCCTAAATTGGTTAAAAAACCTGGTTTTCAAGCTCGTAAATGTAAAGCAACATTCTTTAAAAAAAAAACAAAAACAAAAAAAAACCATGCAAACAATTTTGAGCCATCACTTTGAGTGATGACAGTAACGATTTGAATACAACCATACGCCTCTGTATTATACTTAACAATTAAGCAACAGCGAACGGTCAAACACAATCATGTATTCATGTATTGTGTTAGAGCTATTTTTTTTTTACATGACCGTGTATATCAGGTATCGAAGCAATGGAAGAAGGAGTTTCTGATCATGGACAACGACATATTTATATTGCCTCAGTAAGTATTTTTTTAAAAGGACTGTTTGGGATAATGGGCTTGTTTGTGATAAAGGACAGTTTGTGATAATGGACTTTTTTTGCGGTGAAGGACTGTTTGTGATAATGGACTTGTTTGTGGTAAAGGACTGTTTGTGATAATGGACTTGTTCGTTGGATGAGGCACAGTTATTGTGATTGGATGTTTGTAGGAATGGATATTGGTGAAGTAGAGAACTTCTTAGGTCAAAGATCTACTTCTTTTTCATACGATCCCAGACATTTGAGATAAAAAAAATAAATATTTATGAATGGTGTTACGCATTTTGTCTCCAGAATGATTTTATCATGTCTCGAGTTCTCTGGTTGTACCATAATCATATCTATAGACATCAATAAGTTTCTATATCCCAATGAAACGTTGAAAAAAATCCCTGCGCCACTAATATCCCTTGAAATGTTTCTGAAAACCTTTAGTGAACCCTTATTTCCCATAGAACTTTATGAAAACATACATTGCACCATTAATGTTCGCCTCCTGTCCTGCAAGCCATTCCCCTCTCTATACTCCCGATGCCTTAACGTTGTCTTGTACTCACCAGCAAGGACTCGGATATCATAGATGTCGGGTTCTTCCTGGAGCCGAACGTCTACCTGAACGGCGTGGACGAAGACATCATGGATTTACTCATCCACAAGGTCAAGGCCTATGTCCCCCACTTAGTGGTGAGCACTTCGTCGCAGAGTCTCAATCGCAGAGTTTTAAATTTAGAAACATTCCGATTTTGCACTTGTTTAATTTTATAGGGTCTTTTAATCCTTTAAAATTTAATTAATTATTTTTTTTTATAGATTTTTAGAATACATAATTCAGTTATGAAAAAAATGAATCATTTAAAATTTCGGTTGTATGCTTGTAGACAGAATGCTATTTACTTTTAAAAAAAAAATCTGGGTAAAGATTTTAACTACCGGAGAATTCCGTAAATAGGCCCATGGGCTTATATTATTAGGTTAAAAAATTATTTAATTACATTTCAATCTATGGGTAATCTGATTCAGATGAAGAAAAACAATCTTTCAAAAATGATCCTTTCTCTTTACTTACGACTGATCTTTAGTACACAATTAAATAACGTTTAAAATTTTTCATAACATATTTTCAACTTAGAAAAGATTTTGGCTGAAAAACAGAACAAAAAAATATACAAAGCAATCACATGCGAGCGTCTCAGGTAATAAGTAGTTTAACTGATTTGTATTTTCCATATAAACGCCCATGGACCTTTATGTGGTACAAAAAAATCTCAATCATGTAACATCAATTTTCCGTTTTGAAGCCCAGGGCTTATTTACAGAAATCTCCGGTACATCGTATTGAAAGATAATTTTTTTAAAATAAAAAGACCACATCTTACAATTAAGAGGTTTTTAGTCCAACCCTCGGTGTTCAATACTAGGCAATCTTTGTATGGGTCACTGTTGCTATCAATAAATCTTCCGGCTTGTCCGGTACAGACGTATCTAGAAAACTGATGGGATTTGTTACTGAAAGGATGCCGTAGTCTTTATACATGTTTAATACATCTCTCGTGGTTTTTGTCATTGGTCCGACCAACACAGGTGCGTCACTGTATCTGTACCTATTTGGTGGGGGGGGGGTTGGGGGTGTCATCTAACACAATTAACAAAATTGCAGTGTAGAATCTCAGCGGTGTCTGTATTGCTCTCCGTTTGTACAGGGCTGTGATATCGTCAAGAAGTGGGCGGCCAGGACACCCTTAAGGGAGCCACCTATGGTGGAGATGGAGATGATGCGATGCGGTGGCGGCCCCGTTCTGCCTGTAAGTGAATGGGGGGGGGGACTCCACACATTCGGTGTTAGGGTGGCGGCTGTGTGGGTGGGTGGGGTGGGTGGGCGTGGTGGGTGTGTGTGTCGTGGGTCTGCGCGTGGTGGGTGTGTGTGTCGTGGGTCTGCGCGTGGTGGGTGTGTGTGTCGTGGGTCTGCGCGCGGTGGGTGTGTGTGTGGTAGGTGTGTGTGTGTGGTTGGGGTGTGTGGTAGGGGTGTGTGTGTGGTAGGGGTGTGTGTGTGTGGTAGGGGTGTGTGTGTGGGGTAGGGGTGTGTGGTCGGGGTGTGTGTCGTGGGTCTGCGCGTGGTGGGTGTGTGTGGGGGAGGTGTGTGTGTGTGGTAGGGGTGTGTGTGTGTGTGGTAGGTGTGTGGTAGGTGTGTGTGTGGTAGGGGTGTGTGGTAGGGGTGTGTGTCGTGGGACTGCGCATGGTGAGTGTGTGTGTGGTAGGTGTGTGGTAGTGTGTGTGTGTGTGGTTGGGGTGTGTGGTAGGGGTGTGTGTCGTGGTGGTGTGGGAATGTGTGTGGTGGAAGTGTGTGTGGTAGGTGTGTGTGTGTGGTAGGGGTGTGTGTGTGGTAGGGGTGTGTGTCGTGGTGGTGTGGGAATGTGTGTGGTGGAAGTGTGTGTGGTAGGTGTGTGTGTGTGGTAGGGGTGTGGTTTAGGGGTGTGTGTCGTGGTGGTGTGGGAATGGGTGTTGTGGAAGTGTGTGTGGTGGGTTTGCGATGAATGGTATTTGAGAACATTGCTGCATGGCTGTTGGGTTAAAGATTGAACATTATTTCCAGAAAACTGTGGTTTCTGAGAAACTTATTCCTATCGCCACTTTTTGAGTTTTATATCTTATTTCATACTGACCCTGATCTAAAATAACGTCATCAACCTATGACTACAATGACGTCACTTAAAGTACTCCAGTACTTAAAACTGCAGGGTATTTTACGCCAGTGACACTAACAAAAAAAAAATAAATTAACGCTTAATCCCCTTGCCCCCCCCCCAACCCCGATCCCTGATTACTACAGACGGCCGTGGGCTCATAAAAGGGGCCACCATTACACGTTTCGACCCGACTTCCTTTTTTTTTTTTGGGCGTTTTTCATAAACGTGGATTATCAAACCGTTAATCCAAAGCATTTCTCAGAAAAGACAAACACTAGTATCGTGCATCACAGAAAGAAGCTCTGACGGAGAAGTCTTGTGCAATTCATGCCAGGTTCACGGGCAATTATTAATTTACATGGTGACTCACAGCTTATAAATAAAATTAAACATTCCCTAAAAACACAGTTTTTTTCGTGTAAAACCTTTTATAAAAAATAAAATGTAACATTGAGCTATTGGGGTTGGGAGCTGAAAATTTTGAAAAAAAAAAAAAAAAAAAAACAACAACAACAGCAACACCAACATGCACACAAGTAACAAATTTTACAATACTCTAAACTAGTGCCTCCCCCCCCCCCCCCCCAGGCCTGCAACCGCATTTTTTTTTCACGCCCCTTAACTATATTAATAGTGTTACGTTCCACAGTAATATAGTAGGGTCAACACGATTATGAACCGCAGATTTACGCCACCAACTACGCCTTAAAAGCAAAAGAAAATATTACGCACCGAGCGCACTTGCGATATTTTTAAATAGCATCTCATTTTGGCGCAGTTATCGGAAATTTTATTTGGTTAAATAAATGTTGTCATACTTCCTTCCTCGTCTCCGTGAAAAACAGTAAAAAAAAACTCATTTTGGGCTGAAGTTTGGAGGGATGGGAGTTAAAAATTTGACAGAATGCGTTGTCATCGGCAATGAGTCTATGTGGCAAAGTTTCAGCTCGATAGGTTGACGGGAAGTGGGTGAATTAGCCGTCCAACTATTTTGCCAGCCACAAAGAAAAGCGAGGTTAAAATAATATAAATGTTTTAAAAAAAATAACTACACTGGTATTGCAGTGATAAAACACTTGCGTTCACCAATGTTTTGGAGTTCAAAGCTTTTGGATTGGAGTTCAAAGGTTTTGGAGGTCATAGGCTATGGACTTCAAGGGTTTCGGCATTCAAAGAGTTTGTAGTTCAAAGGTCACGGAGTTCAAGGACTAGATAAGATTTCTTTTAAATATTTTCTACGTTTGACATCAAATCTACCATTCATATTTTTGTTTTTTTTTGTTAATGATTACATCCTGTGATGTCCATGTAAACTGAAACAGAAAACACACTTCTCCCCCCCCCCCCCCCCCCCGATCATTTTTACAAACTTTATAGCTAAAGGATGACTTGTCTGCACGTGTCTCTTACCACAGGTGGTTCACAACATCGGCCTGGGGGCCGGCACTGTCAGCTTGGCCTGGGGCGCGGGGTCCCAGGCGGCCCACCTGGTCCAGGACATCGCCAGACTCATCAAGCCGTTTGCTCGTGTGTGGAGACCTTTTCTGACGCTGGGTTGACTCTCTGTGACGCGTCGGTCGGGGAGGCTAACAAAGTACTCCGACGTCCCGGTGACGCAGGGCTCCTACAGCGTTACCGCATTATGAGCGTCGCAACATTCTGGACAATGTGTTTTATATTTCTAAATGTGCCTCAGCCACACCAAACATCTCGTAACATTGACATGTTTGTGTTTACAATATGATCTCAGGTGTTCCTGATAGCACCGACAAATTCATCCCCAATGTAATACCATCACAAACTTGGTAATAAAATCAGAAACCTTGTACTGACATCACAAACCTTGTAATAACATCAAAAACCTTGTCATGACATCACAAACCTTTGTACTGACGTCAAAAACCTTGAAATAACATCACAAACCTTGTACTGACATCACAAACCTTGTAATAACATCACAAACCTTGTACTGACATAAAAAACCTTGAAATAACATCACAGACCTTGTACGGTCATTACAAACCTTGTAATAACATCAAAAACCTTGTAATGACATCGCAAACCTTGTAATGGCATCAGGAACCTTAAAACATAACACCACAAACCTTGCCATAAACATCACAAACCTTGTAATAATGACAGTTATCATTTGGGCTGGTCATGTTTTAGAAAACTTGACATCACGCTTTTTGTGAGGGTTAGTGTGAGTGTGTGTGTGTGTGTGGGGGGGGGGTGTTGTCTAAGAAGTTAACCAATAACAAAATATTTTGATAACTTTATCAAAGCCTATTCTCGCATAACTTCAGCGCTTAATATGTGAATATCGATCTAGCAAGGAAATTATCAATTACAAAAAAAACAACAAAAATCGAGTAAATTCATTGCAGTCTTTTAATATATATAAGACGAAATTCATGTTGTTTTAGGTGAGTCCTCAGACACACCTAGCCATATCTTTAAATTAGGCGTCATTGACAATGTTTTTTTTTTCTATTTTGTAATTTTTAATCCATTAACACAGGGATTCCCCATCCTGTTTAAAATGTGCTCCACGACCGCTCATTCTTCTGGACAAAATTAACTACTAACACTTGGTGTAGACTTGAGTCCCCCACCCCCCCCCTCCCCTCCCCCAACTACCCTCCTCTAACCCACCCCACCAATATTTTAAAAGTCTTAAAAAGGTTCCATGAGTAAAAAAAAAATGTTTGAGAACCACTACATGAACAGTTGCTAGATATGAACAACACTAATTTCATGCGTCAATGCAACCGTCAATGTCCGTTTGTTTTATAAATTAAAAACAAAAAACGCCATTTTCTGTCATAATTATTTAACAATGATGCAAAAAACAACAAAATAATTAAAGAATGAACTTCAAGAGTTCACTGTCACAGACTGACGTTAATTGTTTATAAATGCCAATTACTCATGTCTGGCTAGGTATATAAAAAACAAAAACAAATAAAAAACAAATAAAAAACAAAAGAAATAAGTAATATTAGAGAAATATAGACCCTTCAGGGTGACTGAGAACCTTGTTTTTTCAACGTTCTTGTGTTAACAATTGAATATGCGTTTTGTCTTCGAGGTTTTAAAATTAAAATAAATAAAATAGTTGTATTGACGTCATTTGCCTAAGAGCAGGGGATTCCTGCTCGTCTATTTTCAGACTGACTGTGAGATAGAGTGCGTCTTGAGGCAGGGGTATCTGTGTTTACATGGCGTAAAAAAGTAAAAGAAGTGATTTTTATTATTTTTTATTTTTATATATATATATATATATATATATTTATTATCGCTTTCCTCTTGTCTGCCTCTAATATTTACCTGGATTTCTCTTTCTCGTAGGTTCATGATACAGTTTAAAAAAAATAATAATAAAAACTTTCACGGAGTGCGGCAAAGGTTAAAATAAGGATGACCCCTACATGGAGCTGTGTTGCATATAATAACTAAAACTATAATCTATATCTATATCTAACTTGTGTAGACAATGATGAGGAGAACTTTACAAGAGTTGTACTCTATATAGGGAAAATGTGAAACTGAGGTGCCGATAGTAAGAGTGACGAGTGCGTCCATTTGTGAAGTCTGTACAGAGGCGTAGCGAGGGTGTTTGGCGCCCGGGGACAAGATTCGCGCCCGGGGACAAGATCCATTTTAAAGCGCCTCTTTTTCTTTTTTTTTTTTTTCAACTCTCAAACCCATTATTTTCATCAATAAAATAATATCAAAGCCCATTTTGGCGCCCCTAACTAGCTGGCGCCCGGGGACATCTGCCATCTCCCTAACCCCCTCGCTACGCCTCTGAGTCTGTATTGGCTAGACGCCTTCAGAGGTGTAGCAAAGATAACAGCAGCACTTCGATGTAGCCGTTATAACAAGACAGTAGAGTAAACACATATTTATTTCCTGAATAAAGTTCCTGTTATCTCTCACCTCTCACTTGTCGTTCACAACATCGGGCCAGGGGGCTGGTACTGTCACCTTGGCCTTGCAGCCTTTGTTACTCAAGAGTTACGGTTTAATTCTTTATTATTTGTTTGTTTGTTGTGGATCTTAAACATTGTCTGCGACATTCCTGAAGTGCCAACATCCACACCGAACGGATCCCTTTAAAAGTTTTCAAGAAACATCTTATCTCTTATCTTATCTTACGAATCGACATAATTGAAATATTATTATTTGTTTGTATTACACTTACGTCACAAACATGTCACGGGCTTGAATTCCCCGATTCCCGCGCTCGGTTCTAAAAATAGAATCTACGCTTGCTCGTTAGAGGAAGCAGGAAATACAGAGGAAACTCCAGTTGAAACAGTTTTAAATGGCTATCTTAGAGTTATTGATCGATTCCTGTCTGATCAAGAAACTGAAATGCTTGAATCTAAGTAAGGTGTGTGCGTAAATGGAGTTGTCTTCTTACGTTCGATACCTAGCAATCAGGGGGGTGGGGGAAGGGATAATAGTAATAATACGGTGAGGGGAATACAGGTGTAGCTTAAGAGCTGTGAGGGGGGGGGAATACATAGATGTGACTGAATGGTGGGGGATACGTGGATGTGACTGAGGGGGATACGTAGATGTGACTGAATGGAGGGGGATACGTGGATGTGACTGAGGGGGATACGTGGATGTGACTGAGGGGGATACGTGGATGTGACTGAGGGGGATACGTGGATGTGACTGAGGGGGATACGTGGATGTGACTGAGGGGGATACGTGGATGTGACTGAGGGGGATACGTGGATGTGACTGAATGGTGGGGGATACGTGGATGTATTTCCAGTATTTCGCCAACTTAATCTTTCTGCGATGCCTCTCAACGTTGTTTCCCTGCGATGCCTCCCTGCGCCGCCTCTCCACGATGACTCCCTGCGACGCCTTTCCGCGACGACTTTCCAAGGTGCCTCTCTGAGACGCCTCTTCGCGACGTCTCTCTGCGACACCTCCCCTTGACGCCTCTAGGCGACGCCTCTCTGGTAGAAGCCACCCAAAATCAATTTCTAAATTTTACCGTAAGGTTAGGCAACAGTTACATCTGTTTTTTCCTCTTAGAACGTAGGGGTTAGTCATTTCGGGTGAGGTATGAGGTCGAATGAAACAGATTGAAATGAATGTGCTGAGATAACTAATTTCCTCATCTCATCCCTACACAAACTCACAATCAAATTCGTTCGACGAGATTTAGGCCTGCTGGTCTTACTTCCTGTTGCGTAGTGTACAACTAGGTACGTTTCTTACGACTTATGTCTCAGAGATCAACTTCCGGCGTGTTCAGCGGCCAGCATGTTTTGCAACTGTTGATGTCGTCCCATTGCTTCGCCTCAGACCACTTTGTGAAAGGAAGTGAATGTTTGGGTAATAGGAATGTGGGTGCACTACTTATCACCCATAATGCATCAACGAACGTTGTCGGATGGTATACAAAGTTGCGCCACCAGTGACGTCATGTGTCTACATTTTATTGAGCGGGTTCAGAAGGTCACCGGAAATTTGTAAGAAAGAAATGTGTTGGAAGGAAAATCGTTTCGAAATGAAAAATTTGGGGGGTGGGGGTGGTGGTGGGGGAACTACAATATTATTTACGATAAGTTCTTTCATTTCTTACTGTCACCATCCCTTAGAAGCATTTAAAAAATAAAACTAATCTAGTTTCAACAAATTTAATTTAGAAACAATTTTCTTGGAACTAATATTGCTCGTACTAATTTCTAATAATCCGTAATGTAAGATACACCAGTAATGTATCATATACCAGTATTGTATAATATACCCGTAAAATATGAGATACCAGTATTGCATGATATACCAATAGTGTATGATATACCCGTAATGGAAATATGAATTTTAAGCTTTCAGGAATGAAACTAAGTTTGAGCTCTTAATTAAAAAGAAACTGTTACACAATGAATTGCAGGTATGCTGCTCACTGTGCATTCTTAACACAGACGAGTACCAGAAAACATACAAACAAGACATTAAGCAAACAAGACAAAACACAAAAAAGACAACATGCAAACAAGACATGCGAACAAGACAACATGCGAACAAGACAACATACAGACAAGACATTATGCAAACAAGACAAAATACAAAAAAGACAACATGCAAACAAGACAACATGCGAACAAGACAACATGCGAACAAGAAAACATGCAAACGAGAAAACATGCAAACGAGAAAACATGCAAACGAGAAAACATGCAAACGAGATAACATGCAAACAAGACAACATACAAACAAGACAATATGCATACAAGACAAAATACAAATAAGACGGCGTACAAACAAGACAGGGTACAAACAAGACATTATACAAACAAGACAGCTTACAAACAAGACAGTGTACAAACAAGAAAAATACAAAGGAGACAGGGTACAAAAAAGACAATATACAAATAAGGCAACATTCAAACAAGGCAATATATAAACAAGGCAGCGTATAAACAAGACAAATTACAAACAAGACAACATAAAAAGACAACATACAAACAAGACAACATACGAACCAGATCAAACTCGAGTATCAAATCATGAAGTGAAGTTTATTGGGCAAACAAGTGAACAGACTCAACACATAGATCACTACGCAGCTAATGTGTACGACAATGGGGCGACGTGAAAAGGTGGGAGGGGGGTGCTGACATCTAGTTTGTGACTCTGACATCAAAGCTGTGACAGCGGTAGGTAGGTTGCGACTCTGACATCAATGCTGTGACAATGACATCTAGTGTGTGACTCTGACACCAAAGCCGTGACAAGGACGTCAATTATTTTGGGCCGGATAATGACGCTGTGACTATGACATCAACATTTTTACATACACTAATTTCGAGATGCTGACTCCGAGCACGTGACTACTGACGCTGACTCTGTGAAAGCGGAACTGTGTGATCTGACACTTGCTCTGGGGGGTGTCCTTCTACAAGGATTGTGACTCCCTGACAGTTTGACGGACACAGAAGCTCTGAGACGGCTTGAACTACCCTGTGATGAGCGACATTGTGATCCCTGATACTAAGACCGAGATAGTCGACTACTGACTCTGTGACAGACAATGACTCTGTGCAAGACACTGACTCTGTGAAAGACACTGACTGTGTGACAGACACTGATTCTGTGACAGACACTGATTCTGTGACAGACACTGATTCTGTGACGACGCTGTGTGACAGACACTGATTCTGTGACA